ACTCTGGTGCTTCCCGCTGTTTCTTTCGCGACAGCACCACAGTCACTCACCTCCCTGCACCTATCCCTGTCTCACTGGCCGACCCCTCAGGGGGCCCAGTGCTTGCACGGTCTTCCACTGTGCTTCCGTGTCCGGCGCTCCCGTCTGGTGAGCTGTCTGGTCTCCACCTCCCCTCGTTCTCTACGAACTTGGTGAGCAACGCCGTCCTTCAGGATCATTGGGTTGACACCTTTACTCCTAGAGGGCACCGTGTGGCGATCTGCACGTGCTTTCGGACCGGCCGCCACCTGGCCACGTTCACACGTGCGCCTGGGTCCAGTCTGTACACCCTCACCACTGCGTCGCACTCCACCCCTTTGTCTCCCCAGCTGTACGCGTCTGCTCAGGTAGCTACCCAGTGTGAGTGTCGCCGCCTGTCGCACGACACTCTCCTGTGGCACCACCGCCTTGGTCACCCCTCCCTGCCTCGCCTTCGTAGCATGCACTCTCGCTTCCTGGTCTCTGGCCTTCCCAGGTCTCTGCCTGCCCTCCCTCCCTCGCCTGTGCCGCCCTGCATTCCCTGCGTCAAGGGGCGGTAGCGTGCCGCTTCTCACTCCTCCTCGTTCCCTCCCACAGAGGCTCCCCTGCAGACTCTCCACCTGGACGTGTGGGGCCCAGCCCGCGTCCGTGGACAGGGCCACGAGCGGTACTTCCTGCTGGTCGTCGACGACTACACGCGTTACACCACGGTCTTCCCCTTGCAGCGCAAGGGGGAGGTCCCTGATGTTTTGATCCCCTGGATCCGCGCTGTTCGTCTCCAGCTCCGCGAGCGGTTCCACTCGGACTTTCCTGTCCTGCGTCTGCACTCTGACAGAGGTGGTGAGTTCTCCTCCGACCTCTTGGCAGCCTTCTGTGCGGAGCACGGCATCCGTCAGACGTTCACGCTTCCGGCCTCTCCGCAGCAGAATGGGGTTGCTGAGCGCCGCATTGGCTTAGTCATGGAGGTCGCTCGTACCTCCATGATCCATGCGGCTGCCCCCCATTTTCTGTGGCCGTTTGCGGTCCGGTACGCCGCGCATCAGCTCAACCTCTGGCCCCGTGTCTCCTTGCCGGAGACCTCGCCCACACTGCTGTGGACGGGGAAGGTTGGCGATGCGTCGCGTTTCCGGGTCTGGGGTGCTCGTGCCTTTGTCCGCGATACCACCGCGGACAAGCTCTCCGCTCGCGCCATTCCCTGCGTCTTCCTTGGCTTTGTCCCTGACGCGCCTGGCTGGCAGTTTTACGACCCCGCCTCGCGCCGTGTCTTTCCGTCTCAGGACGTCACCTTTGACGAGTCAGTCCCCTTTACCATCTCTTTCCCTACCGCACTGCCCCTCGCCCCCCCCCGCCGCTCTTTCTCGCCCCAGGTCCTCCCCATGTAGACCCCCTCCCCGCGCCAGGTCCTGCTCCTTCAGGTGTTTCTCAGGTAGACCCTCCCTTGCCTGCGCCTGTTGAGGTCACTGGTGACTCAGGTCCTGCTGGGGGTGGTGCTGTCTTTGGGGGTGCTGGACCTGGGGGTGTGGAGCGTGGGGGTGCGGAGCTTGGGGGTGCTGAGCCTGGGGGTGCGGAGTCTGGGGGCGCTGAGCCTGAGCGTGAGGAGTCTGGAGGTGCTGAGCCTGCGCGTGTGGAGACTGGAGGTCCTGAGCCTGGGGGTGTTGTGTTTGGGGGTGCTGAGCCCGAGCGTGAGGAGCCTGGGGGTGCTGAGTCTGGGGGTGCGACGCCTGAGGGTTCTGAGTCTGCTGTTGCGCGGTCTCCTTGGAGTAGCCGCCTTCGTCAGCGTGTGCCTCTCACCTCACAGCAGCTGCACGACTGGTACGGTCGCCGTCAGGGTCGCGCTTCTGGAGCTCGGGGCTCTGCCACTGGAGGTACTTCTGCTGACGTCACTGGAGGTGGTAGTGGTGCTGGTCCCGGAGGTGCTCGTACTGGAGGTACTGGAGCTGCTGGGGCTGGAGGTGCTGAGCCTGCGGGTGCTACTGCTGGAGACCCTGGGTCTGGGGGTGCTGCTGCTGGAGACACTGAGGCTGGAGACCCTGGGACTGGAGGTGCCGGTTCTGGGGGTGCTGCTGTTGGTGGAGCTGGTCCTGGAGGAGCTGGCGCTGAGGGTTCTGGAGCTGCTGGAGGTGCTGGAGCTGCTGGGGGTACTGGAGCTGCTGGTGCTGGTGTCACTGCACAGCCGCGCCTGTTCTTCGCTCCACCGTCTCCGTCGTCTCAGCCACCGCCTGACACTGTGCTTCGCAGGTTCTTAGTCTCCCTTCGTCTACTGGTCTTCTGTTACAGCCTGGCTCACCGCTGCCTGCTCCTTCTCCTTACACTGAGCAGACAGGGGGTCTTACTGAGCGTCGTGAGCCTGCGTCGTGTCCTGTCTCGCCTGTCCGTTCTGGTCGTTCCGGTCGTCGTGTTCCTCGTCCGCGTCAGCCGGCTGCCCCCGACACCCACCTCGTAGTCCGTCGTCCTTCCTCTCCTCCGCAGCGTGTTCCTCTGCCTTCTCCTCCTGCGTCTTCTCTGCCTGTCGTTGCGGACCCTGAGTCTGACCGGTTTCGTGCTGAGCACCAAAGTGTCACGCGTCTGCTAGCCACCGTTGTCAATGACCCGTCGTTTGAGTCTGCTGCTGCGTCTGCCTTTGTCGCTGAGCTGGTTGACTTTTCTGCTGCCTGTCGTCTAGACTACGCTGCTAGTCTTGTTGCTGAGTCTGAGTCTGTCTGTCCTCCGTCCGTCGGGGGTGAGTGTGCTCTTGGCACGGACGTCCCTTGAGGACAGACAGGAGGACCTTGAGTGTCTTGCGGCCGCTGCGCCTCATCTCGTGGCCATGCTGCTTGCCCCTGAGGGAGACCCGGATGCACCAGACATCCCGACCCCGCGCTCTTACGCTGAGGCGATCGCGGGTGAGTACTCCTCTCAGTGGCAGACAGACATGGACGCAGAGATGGCATCGTGGAAGTCCACAGGCACTTAGGTCGATGAGGTTCCCCCTCCTGGGGCGAACATCGTCGATGTCATGTGGATTTTCAGGGTGAAGCGGCCGCCGGGTTCTCCGCCTGTCTTCAAGGCTCGTTACGTTGCACGAGGCTTCAGTCAGCGACAGGGAGTTGACTTCTTCCAGACCTTCTCCCCCACCCCGAAGATGACCACTCTTCGGGTGCTGCTGCACGTCGCCGCTCAGCGTGACTACGAGCTTCACTCTCTCGACTTCAGCACAGCGTTCTTACAGGGCAGTTTGCACGAGGAGATCTGGCTGCGCCTCCCACCTGGCTTCACTGGGTCGTTCCCTCCTGGTACCCAGTGGAGCCTCCGGCGGCCGGTCTACGGTCTCCGCCAGGCGCCACGTGAGTGGCACGACACACTGAGGACGACACTTGCGGCTCTTGGGTTTGCTCCTTCGACTGCTGACCCGTCGCTGTTTCTGCGCACCGACACTTCGCTGCCGCCGTTCTACATCCTCGTGTACGTCAACGACTTGGTCTTTGCCACTGCTGACACTGAGGCTCTCGCCCTGGTGAAGTCAGAGCTGCAGAAGAGACACACGTGCACAGACCTGGGTGAGCTGCGCAGTTACCTTGGCTTGCAGATCACCCGGGACAGAGCACGCCGCACCATCACACTGACTCAGTCACACATGGTGCAGCAGGTCCTTCAGCGCTTCGGCTTCACCTGGTCCTCGGCACAGGCCACTCCTCTGGCTACAGGTCACTCGCTCTCAGCTCCACCTTCGGACGAGTCCGTAGAGCCGAGTGGTCCTTACCCAGAGCTAGTTGGCTGCCTCATGTACCTGATGACCTGCACTCGTCCTGACCTCGCGTACCCTCTTGGCCTTCTGGCTCGCTACGTGGCTCCTGGTCGGCACCGAAAGGTGCACATGGATGCTGCTAAGAGGGTACTGCGCTACTTGTGCAGTACATCGGGCATGGGGCTCGTGCTTGGAAGACGGGGCGACGTTGTCCTCACTGGTCACTCGGACGCTTCTTGGGTTGACGACCAGGCTACGCAGCGGTCGTCACAGGGTTACACCTTCAGTCTTGGCTCTGGCTCTGTTTCTTGGCGGTCTACGCGCTCGTCTTGTGTTCTCGGCTCCAGTTGTGAGGCTGAGATCTACGCCACAGCCATGGCTGCACAGGAGTTACGCTGGCTCACCTACCTGCTGACCGACTTGGGAGAGAGGCCTCGTTCTCCTCCAGTTCTGTATGTCGACAACAAGGCAGCCATTGCCTTGTGTCAGGAGCACAGACTGGAGCACAGAACGAAGCACATCGCTCTGCGTTACTTCCTTGCTCGAGAGTTGCAGCAGCGGGGTCAGCTTCGTCTTGCTCACGTGGCCACTCGAGCCAACACTGCTGATATATTCACCAAGGCACTTCCGTCTGGTGATCATCAGCGCTTTTGTACCTTGTTGGGCCTTGTGCCTACGTTTCCGCACTTGCTGTAGAATCTACTTGTACTGTGATCTATATATGTATATACCTGCATGCTTGCTCTTGCTAGGTAGAGATCACTGTACTGTTCTTGTTGCATATATACCTCTGCATGTGAACTGGCCTTGTGGCCTTTTTGCTTGTGCTCAGTGTGTGTGGTGACGTTGTGATCCACCTTGAGCTTGCTTTTATTTTCTTGACTGGTCTTGTGACCTCTTGCTCTCCCCCACTTTGCCTATGGGGGTGTGTCAAACATATGCACATGTTATATTTGTGGGTAGGCTGTAGTGGGGTAGATAATGTGGGGTATAACCCCTTAGGGTTTTCTCCTTGTACCATTCTCTCGATAGTCAACTCATTCCATGCCTAGTTTCTAACAGCTGGTACACCTTCTCTCCTCTTTCTGGTAAAACCTCGATTTCCTCTCACTACTCTCTAATCTCCTATAACGTACTTCAAGCTCCTATGGCTCATCTCGTTTTCAGCCAAGCCCAAATCTCAACTAGGGGCCTGGTCAATTGCAGTGGATCTTAACGATCTAGCACTTGGTACTATGATACCCAAGATTAGCTTCTCTTATCCTTCCCTTGCGACAATATGCGTGTAAACCAGCTCGTTCCACATGTCTGGAACGCCCGGCAAGCACCAATGCAGGCAATCTTGTCCCTTGGCGGTAACGTATCGGGGATCCCAGCCGGCTGGGTGAGCATCACCACGGTAAGCCGACAGGTGCGTGGTGTTCAAAAGGCGAACAGATGTGCCGAGGACTCCATCCTCCTTTATAGCATCCCTGGTTGTCATACTGGCCACCTCAGCATCCCCCAACGGATACTGCCATGGAAAGATACGTTACAACAAATGGGAAAGGATACAAAACGGGGAAAAAAGGGCACAGCAAATATTACAAAGCTGCACAATCCTACAGATATGGGTTCCCATATTGAGTGCTGCCGAAGCTAGCATGAGCACATCGAATCATAAAAACAACAATCTTACAGAAGTTAGCATGTACACTGTATAATTACGCACCTTGAGTTGGACGCATCCGCCTGTGCCGTTCTTGTCCCCCTTGGAATGCCTCGGCGAAATCGATCGCAGAAACACCATCGGCTTCGTGTCGGGCGTCCCAAAAATCGCCGTCGTCTGCTTCGCACCCCCACCTGTCGCCAAGCCTGGAAGCTGCACACCCGAACCCAACTTCTGCCTCGCTCCCTCTCCTCCTCCATCTCCCGCTCCCGAGCTCGTCTGCTTCAGCTGATCATCAATCCACACACACACAGACCGAACCGCTGTCTTGAGCGCAAGCCACATGACCATCGGCCTTCGGTTCACCGGCGGCGCCAGGGTTCCATTCAGATAAAACCTGAGCGCGTTCTGGTTCATCTCCACCCGGTCCCAGTGATGCCCCGTGTTGAGCACCACCACATCCAGCTTCTTAAGATAGTCTCTTAGGAAAGTATCGGGCCGGTCTAAGTGCAGCGCATTGCCCTGCGTCCCGTTCTCCTTATTGAGCGGCTCGATTTCGCATAAGGTCGTCGACCAGCGGAATATCACTGTAGTGTTGGATGCAACGAATCTGTACGCCCTGTCGGGCCGGTGGCTGTCTCTGGGCGTTGGAAAAAAGCCGTAGTCCTTGCGCACGTCTTGGATGGGGGATGCGGGGTCGGACATGTTTTTGGGCGGGCCTTCAGGGGCGAGCATGCAGAGCAGCGACTGGAACGGTTCCTGGCCCAACGAGTCGCCCACAAAGGCAATGCTCTTCTTGCGCATTCTGATGGGAGAAAGAGAGGAGGGGGGGGGGGAAGGGAGGGGGGGTATAAGGAAGCAGGAAGTGGGTAGATGAGTAACTTTGGATGAAGCAAAGGCAGGTGGGGGGGTAGGATGGGGGAAGAGGAAGGGGGAGTGTAGCTGGCCTGAGTTGTCACCCACACGAATAACTCAATCCCTACACCTCTCACCTCCCTTAGGAAAGAACACCTCTGTAGCCCGTGCTTACGCGCTTGAACACACCTCAAACCACCGTGCTTGCGAGCTTGGGGTGACCCCAGCTCTGCCCCCATTCCATCCCTCCCACCTCCCACGAAACCCAGACCCTCACCTGCTGAAAAAGCCCTCGGCGCTGAAGCGTGTCATATTACACCCGTTGGGCTGCCAGCGCAGGCGCTCGTACTGACGCATCTCGAGCGGGCGGTTGCTGCGCGCGCACGCAAAGCTGGTGGAAATCCACCCGCACTTCTCCCCCGAGTAATACGCCGGCTGCTGCGTCTGCACCCACTGCCCGTGGTACAGGTCGCACAGGGGCCCCGGGCCGGCGGCAGGCAAGGCGAGGAGTCCCCGCCGAACAAATTTAATAATACCACCCCCACTGGCGTTCCCTATAATGGGGACGGCGAGGGATGGGGGAGAGGGATGGGATAGAGGGATGGGGGAGAGGGACGAGGGAGAGGAATGAGGGAAGAAAAGATAACGAGGAAGCATAGAGGGAGGGAGCAGAGGGATAGGTGAGGGGGATGAGGGAGACGGAGGGATGAGGGAGGGGAAGGAGGGAGTGGGATGAGGGAAAGGGATGAGGGAGAGGAAGAGGTATGAGGGGTAAAGAGGGGTTGAGGGAGAGGGAGGAAGGAGAGGGAGGAAGGAGAGGGAGGAAGGAGAGGGAGGAAGGAGAGGGAGGAAGGAGAGGGAGGAAGGAGAGGGAGGAAGGAGAGGGAGGAAGGCGAGGGAGGAAGGAGAGGGAGGAAGGAGAGGGAGGAAGGCGAGGAAGGAAGGAGAGGAAGGAGAGGGAGGAAGGAAGGAGAGGAAGGAGAGGGAGGAAGGAAGGAGAGGGAGGAAGGAGAGGGAGGAAGGAAGGAGAGGGAGGAAGGAGAGGGAGGAAGGAGAGGGAGGAAGGAGAGGGAGGAAGGAGAGGGAGGAAGGAGAGGGAGGAAGGAAGGAGAGGAAGGAGAGGGAGGAAGGAAGGAGAGGAAGGAGAGGGAGGAAGGAAGGAGAGGGAGGAGAGGGAGGAAGGAAGGAGAGGGAGGAGAGGGAGGAAGGAAGGAGAGGGAGGAGAGGGAGGAGAGGGAGGAGAGGGAGGAGAGGGAGGAGAGGGAGGAGAGGGAGGAGAGGGAGGAGAGGGAGGAGAGGGAGGAGAGGGAGGAGAGGGAGGAGAGGGAGGAGAGGGAGGAGGAGAGGGAGGGAGGAGAGGAGGGAGGAGAGGGAGGGAGGAGAGGGAGGAGAGGGAGGAGAGGGAGGGAGGAGAGGGAGGAGAGGGAGGAGAGGGAGGAGAGGGAGGAGAGGGAGGAGAGGGAGGAGAGGGAGGAGAGGGAGGAGAGGGAGGAGAGGGAGGAGAGGGAGGAGAGGGAGGAGAGGGAGGAGAGGGAGGAGAGGGAGGAGAGGGAGGAGAGGGAGGAGAGGGAGGAGAGGGAGGAGAGGGAGGAGAGGGAGGAGAGGGAGGAGAGGGAGGAGAGGGAGGAGAGGGAGGAGAGGGAGGAGAGGGAGGAGAGGGAGGAGAGGGAGGAGAGGGAGGAGAGGGAGGAGAGGGAGGAGAGGGAGGAGAGGGAGGAGAGGGAGGAGAGGGAGGAGAGGGAGGAGAGGGAGGAGAGGGAGGAGAGGGAGGAGAGGGAGGAGAGGGAGGAGAGGAGGAGAGGGAGGAGAGGGAGGAGAGGGAGGAGAGGGAGGAGAGGGAGGAGAGGGAGGAGAGGGAGGAGAGGGAGGAGAGGGAGGAGAGGGAGGAGAGGGAGGAGAGGGAGGAGAGGGAGGAGAGGGAGGAGAGGGAGGAGAGGGAGGAGAGGGAGGAGAGGGAGGAGAGGGAGGAGAGGGAGGAGAGGGAGGAGAGGGAGGAGAGGGAGGAGAGGAGGAGAGGGAGGAGAGGGAGGAGAGGGAGGAGAGGGAGGAGAGGGAGGAGAGGGAGGAGAGGGAGGAGAGGGAGGAGAGGGAGGAGAGGGAGGAGAGGGAGGAGAGGGAGGAGAGGGAGAGGGAGGAGAGGGAGGAGAGGGAGGAGAGGGAGGAGAGGGAGGAGAGGGAGGAGAGGGAGGAGAGGGAGGAGAGGGAGGAGAGGGAGGAGAGGGAGGAGAGGGAGGAGAGGGAGGAGAGGGAGGAGAGGGAGGAGAGGGAGGAGAGGGAGGAGAGGGAGGAGAGGGAGGAGAGGGAGGAGAGGGAGGAGAGGGAGGAGAGGGAGGAGAGGGAGGAGAGGGAGGAGAGGGAGGAGAGGGAGGAGAGGGAGGAGAGGGAGGAGAGGGAGGAGAGGGAGGAGAGGGAGGAGAGGAGGAGAGGGAGGAGAGGGAGGAGAGGGAGGAGAGGGAGGAGAGGGAGGAGAGGGAGGAGAGGGAGGAGAGGGAGGAGAGGGAGGAGAGGGAGGAGAGGGAGGAGAGGGAGGAGAGGGAGGAGAGGGAGGAGAGGGAGGAGAGGGAGGAGAGGGAGGAGAGGGAGGAGAGGGAGGAGAGGGAGGAGAGGGAGGAGAGGGAGGAGAGGGAGGAGAGGGAGGAGAGGGAGGGAGGAGAGGAGGAGAGGGAGGAGAGGGAGGAGAGGAGGAGAGGGAGGAGAGGAGGAGAGGGAGGAGAGGGAGGAGAGGGAGGAGAGGGAGGAGAGGGAGGAGAGGGAGGAGAGGGAGGAGAGGGAGGAGAGGGAGGAGAGGAGGAGAGGGAGGAGAGGGAGGAGAGGGAGGAGAGGGAGGAGAGGGAGGAGGGGAGGAGAGGAGGAAGAGGGGAGGAGAGGGAGGAGAGGGAGGAGAGGGAGGAGAGGGAGGAGAGGGAGGAGAGGAGGAGAGGGAGGAGAGGGAGGAGAGGGAGGAGAGGGAGGAGAGGGAGGAGAGGGAGGAGAGGGAGGAGAGGGAGGAGAGGGAGGAGAGGGAGGAGAGGGAGGAGAGGGAGGAGAGGGAGGAGAGGAGGAGAGGGAGGAGAGGAGGAGAGGGAAGGAGAGGGAGGAGAGGGAGGAGAGGGAGGAGAGGGAGGAGAGGGAGGAGAGGGAGGAGAGGGAGGAGAGGGAGGAGAGGGAGGAGAGGGAGGAGAGGGAGGAGAGGGAGGAGAGGGAGGAGAGGGAGGAGAGGGAGGAGAGGGAGGAGAGGGAGGAGAGGGAGGAGAGGGAGGAGAGGGAGGAGAGGGAGGAGAGGGAGGAGAGGGAGGAGAGGGAGGAGAGGGAGGAGAGGGAGGAGAGGGAGGAGAGGGAGGAGAGGGAGGAGAGGGAGGAGAGGGAGGAGAGGGAGGAGAGGGAGGAGAGGGAGGAGAGGGAGGAGAGGGAGGAGAGGGAGGAGAGGGAGGAGAGGGAGGAGAGGGAGGAGAGGGAGGAGAGGGAGGAGAGGGAGGAGAGGGAGGAGAGGGAGGAGAGGGAGGAGAGGGAGGAGAGGGAGGAGAGGGAGGAGAGGGAGGAGAGGGAGGAGAGGGAGGAGAGGGAGGAGAGGGAGGAGAGGGAGGAGAGGGAGGAGAGGGAGGAGAGGGAGGAGAGGGAGGAGAGGGAGGAGAGGGAGGAGAGGGAGGAGAGGGAGGAGAGGGAGGAGAGGGAGGAGAGGGAGGAGAGGGAGGAGAGGGAGGAGAGGGAGGAGAGGGAGGAGAGGGAGGAGAGGGAGGAGAGGGAGGAGAGGGAGGAGAGGGAGGAGAGGGAGGAGAGGGAGGAGAGGGAGGAGAGGGAGGAGAGGGAGGAGAGGGAGGAGAGGGAGGAGAGGGAGGAGAGGGAGGAGAGGGAGGAGAGGGAGGAGAGGGAGGAGAGGGAGGAGAGGGAGGAGAGGGAGGAGAGGGAGGAGAGGGAGGAGAGGGAGGAGAGGGAGGAGAGGGAGGAGAGGGAGGAGAGGAGGAGAGGGAGGAGAGGGAGGAGAGGGAGGAGAGGGAGGAGAGGGAGGAGAGGGAGGAGAGGGAGGAGAGGGAGGAGAGGGAGGAGAGGGAGGAGAGGGAGGAGAGGGAGGAGAGGGAGGAGAGGGAGGAGAGGGAGGAGAGGGAGGAGAGGGAGGAGAGGGAGGAGAGGGAGGAGAGGGAGGAGAGGGAGGAGAGGGAGGAGAGGGAGGAGAGGGAGGAGAGGGAGGAGAGGGAGGAGAGGGAGGAGAGGGAGGAGAGGGAGGAGAGGGAGGAGAGGGAGGAGAGGGAGGAGAGGGAGGAGAGGGAGGAGAGGGAGGAGAGGGAGGAGAGGGAGGAGAGGGAGGAGAGGGAGGAGAGGAGGAGAGGGAGGAGAGGGAGGAGAGGGAGGAGAGGGAGGAGAGGGAGGAGAGGGAGGAGAGGGAGGAGAGGGAGGAGAGGGAGGAGAGGGAGGAGAGGGAGGAGAGGGAGGAGAGGGAGGAGAGGGAGGAGAGGGAGGAGAGGGAGGAGAGGGAGGAGAGGGAGGAGAGGGAGGAGAGGGAGGAGAGGGAGGAGAGGGAGGAGAGGGAGGAGAGGGAGGAGAGGGAGGAGAGGGAGGAGAGGGAGGAGAGGGAGGAGAGGGAGGAGAGGGAGGAGAGGGAGGAGAGGGAGGAGAGGGAGGAGAGGGAGGAGAGGGAGGAGAGGGAGGAGAGGGAGGAGAGGGAGGAGAGGGAGGAGAGGAGGAGAGGGAGGAGAGGGAGGAGAGGGAGGAGAGGGAGGAGAGGGAGGAGAGGGAGGAGAGGGAGGAGAGGGAGGAGAGGGAGGAGAGGGAGGAGAGGGAGGAGAGGGAGGAGAGGGAGGAGAGGGAGGAGAGGGAGGAGAGGGAGGAGAGGGAGGAGAGGGAGGAGAGGGAGGAGAGGGAGGAGAGGGAGGAGAGGGAGGAGAGGGAGGAGAGGGAGGAGAGGGAGGAGAGGGAGGAGAGGGAGGAGAGGGAGGAGAGGGAGGAGAGGGAGGAGAGGGAGGAGAGGGAGGAGAGGGAGGAGAGGGAGGAGAGGGAGGAGAGGGAGGAGAGGGAGGAGAGGGAGGAGAGGGAGGAGAGGGAGGAGAGGGAGGAGAGGGAGGAGAGGGAGGAGAGGGAGGAGAGGGAGGAGAGGGAGGAGAGGGAGGAGAGGGAGGAGAGGGAGGAGAGGGAGGAGAGGGAGGAGAGGGAGGAGAGGGAGGAGAGGGAGGAGAGGGAGGAGAGGGAGGAGAGGGAGGAGAGGGAGGAGAGGGAGGAGAGGGAGGAGAGGGAGGAGAGGGAGGAGAGGGAGGAGAGGGAGGAGAGGGAGGAGAGGGAGGAGAGGGAGGAGAGGGAGGAGAGGGAGGAGAGGGAGGAGAGGGAGGAGAGGGAGGAGAGGGAGGAGAGGGAGGAGAGGGAGGAGAGGGAGGAGAGGGAGGAGAGGGAGGAGAGGGAGGAGAGGGAGGAGAGGGAGGAGAGGGAGGAGAGGGAGGAGAGGGAGGAGAGGGAGGAGAGGGAGGAGAGGGAGGAGAGGGAGGAGAGGGAGGAGAGGGAGGAGAGGGAGGAGAGGGAGGAGAGGGAGGAGAGGGAGGAGAGGGAGGAGAGGGAGGAGAGGGAGGAGAGGGAGGAGAGGGAGGAGAGGGAGGAGAGGGAGGAGAGGGAGGAGAGGGAGGAGAGGGAGGAGAGGGAGGAGAGGGAGGAGAGGGAGGAGAGGGAGGAGAGGGAGGAGAGGGAGGAGAGGGAGGAGAGGGAGGAGAGGGAGGAGAGGGAGGAGAGGGAGGAGAGGGAGGAGAGGGAGGAGAGGGAGGAGAGGAGGAGAGGGGAGGAGAGGGAGGAGAGGGAGGAGAGGGAGGAGAGGGAGGAGAGGGAGGAGAGGGAGGAGAGGGAGGAGAGGGAGGAGAGGGAGGAGAGGGAGGAGAGGGAGGAGAGGGAGGAGAGGGAGGAGAGGGAGGAGAGGGAGGAGAGGGAGGAGAGGGAGGAGAGGGAGGAGAGGGAGGAGAGGGAGGAGAGGGAGGAGAGGGAGGAGAGGGAGGAGAGGGAGGAGAGGGAGGAGAGGGAGGAGAGGGAGGAGAGGGAGGAGAGGGAGGAGAGGGAGGAGAGGGAGGAGAGGGAGGAGAGGGAGGAGAGGGAGGAGAGGGAGGAGAGGGAGGAGAGGGAGGAGAGGGAGGAGAGGGAGGAGAGGGAGGAGAGGGAGGAGAGGGAGGAGAGGGAGGAGAGGGAGGAGAGGGAGGAGAGGGAGGAGAGGGAGGAGAGGGAGGAGAGGGAGGAGAGGGAGGAGAGGGAGGAGAGGGAGGAGAGGGAGGAGAGGGAGGAGAGGGAGGAGAGGGAGGAGAGGGAGGAGAGGGAGGAGAGGGAGGAGAGGAGAGAGGGAGGAGAGGAGGAGAGGGAGGAGAGGAGGAGAGGAGAGAGGGAGGAGAGGGAGGAGAGGGAGGAGAGGGAGGAGAGGGAGGAGAGGGAGGAGAGGGAGGAGAGGGAGGAGAGGGAGGAGAGGGAGGAGAGGAGAGAGGGAGGAGAGGAGGAGAGGGAGGAGAGGAGGAGAGGAGGAGAGGGAGAGAGGAGGAGAGGGAGGAGAGGGAGGAGAGGGAGGAGAGGGAGGAGAGGGAGGAGAGGGAGGAGAGGGAGGAGAGGGAGGAGAGGGAGGAGAGGGAGGAGAGGGAGGAGAGGGAGGAGAGGGAGGAGAGGGAGGAGAGGGAGGAGAGGGAGGAGAGGGAGGAGAGGGAGGGAGGAGAGGGAGGAGAGGAGGAGAGGGAGGAGAGGGAGGAGAGGGAGGAGAGGGAGGAGAGGGAGGAGAGGAGAGGGAGGAGAGGGAGGAGAGGGAGGAGAGGGAGGAGAGGGAGGAGAGGGAGGAGAGGGAGGAGAGGGAGGAGAGGGAGGAGAGGGAGGAGAGGGAGGAGAGGGAGGAGAGGGAGGAGAGGGAGGAGAGGGAGGAGAGGGAGGAGAGGGAGGAGAGGGAGGAGAGGGAGGAGAGGGAGGAGAGGGAGGAGAGGGAGGAGAGGGAGGAGAGGGAGGAGAGGGAGGAGAGGGAGGAGAGGGAGGAGAGGGAGGAGAGGGAGGAGAGGGAGGAGAGGGAGGAGAGGGAGGAGAGGGAGGAGAGGGAGGAGAGGGAGGAGAGGAGGAGAGGGAGGAGAGGGAGGAGAGGGAGGAGAGGGAGGAGAGGGAGGAGAGGGAGGAGAGGGAGGAGAGGGAGGAGAGGGAGGAGAGGGAGGAGAGGGAGGAGAGGGAGGAGAGGGAGGAGAGGGAGGAGAGGGAGGAGAGGGAGGAGAGGGAGGAGAGGAGGAGAGGGAGGAGAGGGAGGAGAGGGAGGAGAGGGAGGAGAGGGAGGAGAGGGAGGAGAGGGAGGAGAGGGAGGAGAGGGAGGAGAGGGAGGAGAGGGAGGAGAGGGAGGAGAGGGAGGAGAGGGAACATACTGAGGGAGACGGGAGCGAGCGTGTGTGTATGGAGTGGAGAGGGAAGCAGAGGTGAGGGAAATGGGGCGGGCTTGTGTGTAGGGAGAGGGAAGCAGAGGCGGGTGAAGGAGAGTGGGCGGGTGTGTGGGGAAAGGAAAGCAGAGGCGAACAAAGGAGACTGGACGTGAAGGAGGCAATGGAGGACGGAAAGAGGCGGAACATGATGATACAAGATGATGATACAAGATAATGATCCAGATTATACAAGATAAACTGACAACTCAAACAAGATGATACTTCACAACAAATTACTTTGTTACGGAGACCCATCTCGTAAGCGCAAAGACATGCATACGGAAGAAAAAACTAAAAAAGAAGAAAAACAAAACTCACATTTCGTCCAATGGGTGGCGTAGAACGGGTCCCGCGTCGCACAGCCCACTATGATCGTCAGTAGAAGCACCAGCACCGCCGAACAGGCCACAAGCCACCGAGCTCCGCCGCAAATCCCGGCGATGCCTGCCTTCCCACCGTCCATGGCCGCCGGCGCCAGCGCCGCGACAGAGCGAGATTTGGAAGGGGTGCTGAGAGGTGAACCGGGAGCATTCCCGCTGGCTGCAGCAGGGCGAGCGTACACGGAGCAAGCAGGAATGGGCGACGAACATGTTTTTGAGTCGACTCAGAAACCAGGAACGGCTTTTGAGGATGAGGAGCGAGGAGCAGGGCTTTCCAGTAGAAAGGAAGAAACGGTCATGGAAGATCGAGCGCACTACCGTCACGGAAGTGTCACGGGTGACATTTCGCCATTGTCTTCCGCGACCGTACCTGGCGGCCGTCGCGTGTGCGCAACCTCGCTAGGAGCTGAGGCCACCGACACTAATTCTAGCGCCGTCGGTCGCGTTTGCGCCGACGAGACTGAGCCTGAGGCCGCGGCTGAGGCTCCGGCTGAGGCTCCCGCTGAGGCTGAGGCTGCGGCTGCCTCCACCGACATGATGATCTTCTCCGAGAAGCTCTTTGAGAAGAATGAGTCGTCGCCTGAAGCGACGACAGTGTGAGCTTGCTCTGAAACTGAACTGCAGTCGGCAAATGAGTCTGTTTAGCTGTTTGCTTTTCAAGAGTTTGATCATCACGACGAGCCTGCTCGTGCTCAACATAGGTTCTCCCATTCTACCGTTTTGAAACGTCTTTTCACTGGATAAAACCGCAGTGCGCGCGCCGGGTTCCGTCTAGGTCCCTGGAAAAGTCACAGATCTGACCGTAGTAGGCCGACCCGTGCCGTCTGAGAAACCCCGAAGGTACTGTACAGAAAACGAAATCGCGAGTCCTTCGGCTGCACTCGCTAACGGCAGATCTGCCGTTCCTCGTCGCAGGGTCGCAGCACTCGCGAACTCGTTTCGGCCGGGAATGGCGATCACGAAACCTTCGGCTGCATGCTGGAAAGAACAGGAGTGGCGATTGATAGGACATGGTAGCCGGCGCGACACAAATGGCCGGCCACACGAGCGTCGCCGTGGGGTACTGTATTTTGTCAAACGACTCTGTCATGAATCATTGACGAGGGAATGACGGACCGCCCTGGTTTCAGGTTTCCGATTCCTTTCGGCAGTGGTCTCGCTTCGCGCTCGCGTCCGATACCTTCGGTCAGTTATTTACGCTATTGCCCCGCTTAGAGTCCAGAGACTAATATTGTGTTGTATTTATTGGGATATCGTAAATTGAATTGTCGCGTCAATTACGAGAAGCTCGGGACAAAACATATATACCCCTCATGGAGGGCATGCCATTTGGGAGGCTCAACCCTAAACACCATGAGGCAAGGTGTTTAGGGCTGATGCCTCCCAAATGGCCAGCCATCCGAGAGGGGAGGTTTTTCCACTGGCCACTAAACTAAAACCAGGTAAATTGGAAATGTCGAAATCAGCTGCCCCAAGGAATCGGACGCGAGCGGAGAAGCGAGGCGGTGTCAAAGCCACTGCCCAAAGGAATCCGAAACTTGAAAACAGGGCGATCCGTCATTTCCTCATCATTGACAGACCGCTGCATCCAGCGTCGGGTTTTGTGCGCTTCGACAGTCCCTAGGACTGACAAGCACCAGAGCACTGCCCACCGCTGAACGGAGGGATTTGCCATCGCGAATCCTGATTCGCGATATGGGCTCAAACTCATCTCATAATGTTGTGAAACCTGTAACGAGGCAATTGATATTTTAGCTTGCGTATACATTTTCAAGGCTGATTAGGTTTTGGGGTTCAGCTGCACTCAATTCGCATATGCGAAAGCAAAGACGGAAAGAAGTTGGTTGGCGAAAGTCACAGAAATCGCTCCAGACTGGGAAGACCAACACAACCCACCCACCCTGCTCAATGCAAGTGACCCACCCAGCAGATTGTCTTGCCAAAGGAACGCAGATCGCGTAACGCAGCTTACTAGGCAACGGGAAATTATCGTAAAGCGCGCGCGAAGAGTGCCAGGAGGTCCACTCGGTGCTCCTCTCATCCTTCTGAGACACGTGCGAGCTTCACACGACAATTAGGAGAGCGAAGAGGGTAAAGCGGCTGCCTTCGCACCTCGCTGCGCCTCCCCTCGCAACCTTTCTCGTCGTCACCAGCTATCCACTCCCACTACCATTCCTCGCCCATCTCACATACTGGTCACCTCGCCAAGTCACTTTCGGCGGCCCGCCCGATCACGTTTACCGGGCCCGCCATCTAACCGCCCGAGTCTCCACAGTCTCGCAATCGTCGCGCGCAATTTCAATTTCGCCGCGCCTGTCTTCTCACACTCCCCGCCCTCTCCCTTTTGACGGCAAATGTTTGCCCTCAGTTTCTCAGACCCTCTACTCAGTTTCTCGCTCATTTCCCCCCCCCATTTCCGCCTCTTCTTCCCCTCGTTTCCGCCCCTTCTTCCCCTCATTTCCGCCCCTTCTTCCCCTCATTTCCGCCCTCCTTCCCCTCGTTTTCCCCCTTCCTTCCCCTCGTTTCCCCCATCCTTTCCCTCATTTCCCCCCATCCTTTCCCTCATTTCCTCCCATCCTTTCCCTCATTTCTCCCCCTCCTTCCCCTCATTTCTCCCCCTGCTTCCCCTCTTTTCCGCCCCTGCTTCCTCTTATTTCCCCCGCTCCTTCCCCTCATTGGATTTCCCCCCCTGCTTTCCCTCATTTCCCACCCACCTTCCCCTCATGTCCGCCCCTGCTTCCCCTCATTTCTGCCCCTCCTTCCCCTCGTTTCCTCCCCTCCGTCCCCTCATTTCTCCCCCTACTTCCCCTCATTTCCCGCCCTCCTTCCCCTCAGTCCCTGGTTCCCCTCATTTCCCCAACTCCTTCCCTTCATTTCGTCCCCACCTTTCCCGTCATTCCATGGTTCCCCTCATTTCCCCCCTCCGTCCCGTCATTTCCCCCACTCCTTCCCTTCATTTCCGCCCCTCCTTTCCCCACTCAGTTGCCACCACGGCTCATTCGCTGCCTCTCCGATTAGGCGCCAGTTGGCTCGTCCTCATTGGCTCGGCTGTTCGTTCCGTGGTTGCTCCTTCCCGTACTGGCTATTCCCTGTCTGCCCCTTCCCTGGCTGTTCCTTACCCAACTGCACCTTTCACGGCGGCTCTCCTCCTCCCACGTACAACATTTCTTATATCTCCGGCTTTTGAGAATCCGCGAAAGCTTCTGGGCTTCTGCCAAACGAGAGCGATGACGTCCACGTCCGACGTGCCACTGTCCACGTCAGCCGCGCCAGCGGACACGTCAGCCACGCCAGCGGACACGTCAGCGACGAAGATCAAGTTCGGGCGGTGGGATTTGGACCCGCGAGAGGTATTCGCTGAGACGAAGCTGTCCCTCGCTATAGTCAACTTCAAGCCCGTCGTGAAAGGTGAGAACTGAGATGGCCTGTCGCTCGCTAATTGATCAACCTGACATTCGCGAGCGAATTGACAAACATGGCATTCGCTCACGCGTGCGGGCGAATTGATCTGAATTGTTTCCAGCTTCAGACATTCCTTGAGGCGCCCCAGATATCGCTTCCAGATCCAGATAATATCAAAACCCGCTAGTTACCACCGTTCGTTGCTACGCTATGCAGGTCATGTGCTCGTGCTGCCTCGGCTTGTGGTGCCGCGTTTCAAGGACATGACTCCCGACGAGGTCACAGACATGTGGCTGCTGGGTCGACTCAACTCCCCCCTTCTACTCCTCGTTACTGCTGTTACTCCCACTCTTCCTCCCTTGCAGGTCACGTGCTCGTGCTGCCTCGCCGTGTGGTACCTCGCTACAAGGACATGACTCCCGAGGAGGTCACAGACATGTGGCTGCTGAGTGGACTCAACTCTCCCCCCCCTCCTTCTACTCCTTGTTACCGCTGCTGCTATACTCTTTCGTGCAGGTCATGTGCTCGTGCTGCCCCGGCGCGTGGTGCCACGTTACAAGGACATGACTCCCGAGGAGGTCACAGACATGTGGCTGCTGGCGCAGAGGATCGGACAGGCCTTTGAACCCCACCACGGCTGCACATCATCCACGTATACTGTTCAGGTAGGCCAATGACATGTGCGTGGGACATTCAGGTGTGGTAATGGCTTGACTCCTGAGGAGGTCACAGGCATGTGGCTTCTGGCGCAGAAGATTGGGCAGGCCTTTGAACCCCACCACGGCTGCACATCATCCACGTATACTGTTCAGGTAGGCCAATGACATGTGCGTGGGACATTCAGGTGTGGTAATGGCTTGACTCCTGAGGAGGTCACAGGCATGTGGCTTCTGGCGCAGAAGATTGGGCAGGCCTTTGAACCCCACCACGGCTGCACATCATCCACGTATACTGTCCAGGTGTGATGCTAGTGGCTTTTGAGGCACCTCAAAGCTATGTTGGAAAAAACGCTAAAGTTCAGTTGCGTTTTGAGTATAAACGCACCAAAAACGCGTACGCTGCGTTTTTGGTGTAGAAACGCAAAAATCCGCACGGGCAGACCTAAAAAAAAAAGGTGCGTATTCTGGTCGTTTTCTGCGTATCGCGAAATCGAATTACGTGCGGGCCAAAATCGAGTTACTTGCTCACCAATTTCGATTTCGTGCTCCCCGAGTCGCGACCCCACAAATGTTACACCCCTGCACAACCCACTTCACTGCATTCACTTCCAACCCCTTCCAACCAAATGATGTCTGGCAGTTCATCCCCCAACCTCTTCTTTCCAGGCATAAATGAAGGCGTTCCTTCACTCGTCAATCATTCCTCTCTCAGATTAGTAGTTGTTCTAGCGTTTTGGAAGCATGGCTTCCGTTGCAGAAATGACTCCTCCCAGCAACCCGACTTCAGCTCCTCGTGGTAGTTCCGTCGAGTGCGAGAGCACTCCCCTGTACATCATGGACAGTGACCACGCCGTGTTCAAGCACTTCAAGGTTGCTGTGGGTGTGGATAACGCCCTCACCGCGTCCAAGGTATGCGCTTATTGTGCATTCAAGTTCAACGGCGGGATGTACCGGTGCGCCCAGCACATCACCGGCTGGAACGGCATGCGGCGTCGTGAAGTGCGCTTGTGCTCCGACGCGCCGAAGTCGGCGCGTGATGGCGTCAAGGCGGTTTACGAGGACAAGCAGAAGGCCCGCGACAACAAGCGATCGGCGGAGCGATCCGCTATTGCCGCGGTTTCCAACTCTGCGGGCGCGCCAAAAAAGAGTCGCATGACGGACTTCTACGGCGATGAATCTACGTGCGCTAAGAAGGAGGCGGATGACTCAATTTGCCTTCTCTTCGCGGCTCTCCGTCTTCCCGAGCATCATGCAGACCACCCACTGTGGCGCAACGCGGTTTCCTGCATCGCACGCGCGGGTGGTTCATACACGCCACCGAAGCGACGCTTCATCGGAGGAGCCGGCCTCCGAAACTGCCGGCAACGCATCGAGGTCGCTCTTGCGCCGATCGCCGCAAGCTGGCGCCGTAACGGCGTCACCATCGCTTCAGACATGATGACCGACGCCTCGGGCCGCCCACAAGCAAACGTGCTGCTCATAAACGACAGCGGCGCCGTCTTCACCGAAGCGGGCGACACACAGATGGAGGTGAAAACAGGCGGCTACATTGCGGGGATGTTGAGGCCGATCATTAAAAAGGTGGGAGCCGAGAACGTGGTGGCACTCTGCATGGATGGAGGCTCGAACTACGCTGCGGCATGCCGGGAACTCATGGTGGAGTTCCCACACCTCGAACAAGTCCCGTGCGCGACCCATGTCCTCGATCTCCTCATGGAGGACATTGGGAAGATGAATTGGGCGAGGGTGGTGGTCACGCGGGCGGCCGAGATCATAAACTTCGTTCGTAGCCACCACTTCACGCGTGGCTACTTGCGGAGCCCCCTCGTCAACGACGGCAAAGGCAAGCAGGTTCTCAAGCCTGCGGGAACCCGCTTCGGGACCCAGTTCATCGCGGTCTCACGCCTGGTCGAGCTCCGCATGTCTCTGCTGCAGATGGTCTTGAGCGAGGAATGGCGGCCTTGGGCGACAGGGGGAAGGAGGGCGAGCGCGGAGGTGTTTCACGGGTACATCCTCGACTCGGAATGGTGGAAGGTGGCCGAATTCTTCACGGTGCTGATGGAGGCTCCCTTCAAGGTGATGCGCGCCACGGACGGCACCGCCAAAGGGATGATGGGGCGGCTTTACGACTTGATGCTGCAGCTCACCGAGGATGTGCACGACATCCTCGAGGCGAAGGGCGACGAGTTCCTGACGCGGGGGGAGATGGGGGAGATCAGGAAGATTGTGAAGGCAAGGTGGGATGAGGGTTTGGCATGCCCCATGCATGTGGTTGGCCGAATTTTAAACCCGGCCAACCAGGAGGAGGGCATTTTCCGCAACGACGTGGAGTGCACCCGTGTTCTGAAAGCCTACATCTCCAAGCACTACGACGATGTCACCATCACAAGCAAGGATGGTGAAGAGCGTCGTGCCTCCCTTGCCTTGCAGGAAGGGCTCACGGCATTCCTGAACCTGGAGGGGAGTTTCGGCATGCCTGCAGCGATTGCTGATCGCGAAGCTGTGAAAGCAGGGACCCACACTGCTCTCCAGTGGTGGGAGTGGCACGGGACGGACTACCCTCACCTGGCGACGCTCGCATGCCGCTCGCTCAAGCAGCCCGTGTCCGCCTCGTCGTGCGAGCGGAATTGGGCGGTGTGGGACGGGGTGTACACCGCCAAGCGCAACCGCCTTGGCTCTGAAAAGTGCCGGGATTTGGTGTACGTTGCGCACAACTGGAAAGTTGTGCACAACTGGTACACCGTCCCGGAGGGCCAGGGGGTGGTCACGGGCAACATTGAGGCCCCTCCCCTTCCCGAGGGGTACAAGGTGGCAGAAGAGGGGTGGGAGGAGGAGGCGGACCAGGGGGAGGATGTCATCATGAACGATGAGTATGAGTAGTCCTCAATTTGAGAAGTGCTTGCAATCCTGCCGTGGGGGAGGTGGAAGTACCTTGATGTGTAGTAGGTGCAATGCAACAAGGGGCGGGGGGGGGGGTGTAGGATGCACTATGTAGTAGTATGAGAATAGTGTCCTGTAGGGAGAGGGAAAGAGGTAGTGATGCTAACATGGAATGTCTAGTCGGTCATTTTCTTTTGTAGTAGGCGTATTAATAAAATGTGATGGGAGTTTTTTTTTTTAACCCCCCCCCCCCTAAACATGGTTTTTTCGCTGCCCCGAAACTTTTTTACCCCTGCCCGGACCTGCGTTTTTGCTGCGTATATGCCTCTCATATTCTCGCGTTTCTCGTATATACTCTCTGGAAAAAACGCTTGCGTGAAAAACGCAATACGCGTTTTTTCCAACATAGCCTCAAAGGTCACTCACAGACATGTGGCTGCTGGCGCAGAGGATTTGGCAGGCCTTTGAGCCTCACCATGGATGCACATCATCCACTTACACCGTTCAGGTGAGATGGTAGCATGTGGGTTTGGTGGTTTGCCTTGATAGCGCTTGAGCCATGCCATGCCACGGATGCATGCACCTCGTCCAATCAGATGTGCTGATAGCATGGCGTACGTGGAGGACGTTTGGGGTTGTTCAGTTGTGATGATTCGAGGTGTGAGCTGCCGCAAAAGTCATTCAGGTGTAATGGAAGCATGGTGTATGTGGTGGACAAGGTGCATGCTGATTTGCCATTCCTTCCTCAGACAGTGAATAGACGGCAGCAGTCCACAGGCATGTGCACATGCGCTTGAGGCATCATCTGAAAGCATACACTCTCGCTCTCTCACCCCTCCCTCTACCTGTCTTGTTCGCATGCCAGGACGGACGAGCAGCAGGGCAGACAGTAGCCGTGCTGCTCTCCTCAAAATCACCTCACCTGCAAAATGTAGTCACTCTCACCTCTCTTTTTTCTCTACATCCGTGTCTTGTTCTCATGCCAGGACGGACCAGCAGGAGGGCTAGGACATTAGCGCATGTGCACGTGCACATGTCTTGGAGGCATCATCCAAACGTTTATTTTCTCCCTCTCTCACTCCTCTACTCCCCCTGTGCCTATGTGTTTTGTTGTGCCAGGACGGACCAGCAGCAGGGCAGACAGTGGCGCACGTGCACGTGCAAGTGCTTGTGAGGCACCATTTAAAATTTCATTCTTCTTACACCCCTCCTCTCCCTGTGTCTTCGTCACTTGCTCTCCTGCCAGGACGGACCAGCAGCAGGGCAGACAGTGGCGCATGTGCACGTGCACGTCATGCCACGGAGAGAAGGGGACTTCGTACCGAATGATAAGATTTATAATGAGGTATGCTCGTGGCGAAACAGTTTTTGTTTTTGTTTTGTTTTGTTTCATTTCGTTTCGTTTCGTTTCGTTTCGTTTCGTTTCGTTTCGTTTCGTTTCGGTGCATGTCGATCGACACCGAGGTTCGTGTTCGTTCATGGGCTTGCGAGGGTATGTTTGGTTGACTGCAGTTGCCAGTAGTGAATTGAAAGGAGCCTTTTCTTTCCGTTGTAAAAGCTACTCCAAGCCACCAGGGCTTTACTGGATCCGCTGCGAGATCCCGTAGGTTCACCCAGTCTAGTGTCAAAATCTGTCGCTTTTAGAGGCGCCTAAAAAATCCTGTAGGTTCACACAGTGTTGGGTCCAATGCTGTTGCTATCCAGTGTTAACCGCTCCGTTAGTTTAAGAGAACAAGGAGGCGAAGTTGCTGAGGACGAATGTGGAAGGGAGGCGATGGGGATTCCTTTCACTCTCTGGTTGTCTTGTACTCTTCCTGTTCCGCTTTCTATCCACAACACGGTCAGGTTTCAAGAGTGTTCGAAGTAGGCAAAGAGGCTGCGGATGGGTGTAGAGGAGGGGAAAAAGGGGAGTCCGTGTTTTCCTTTTTTTCTGTTTGTGTTTGACTGTCAACTTTGGCAGATTGAGGAGAATGAGAAGGAGGCGAAGAAGCTGAGGATGGATGCGGAGGAGAACCCACCAGCCTGCACGATGGATGACATGGCTGTCCCTCTCCCTATCCCTGCCCCTGACCCTGTCTCCTCCCTGTCCCTGTCCCTATCCCCGCCTGTCCCTGTCCCTGTCCCTGTCCCTGTCCCTGTCCCTGTCCCTGTCCCTGTCCCTGTCCCTGTCCCTGTCCCTGTCCCTGTCCCTGTCCCTGTCCCTGTCCCTGTCCCTGTCCCTGTCCCTGTCCCTGTCCCTGTCCCTGTCCCTGTCCCTGTCCCTGTCCCAGTCCCTGTCCCTGTCCCTGTCCCTGTCCCAGTCCCTGTCCCTGTCCCTGTCCCTGTCCCTGTCCCTGTCCCTGTCCCTGTCCCTGTCCCTGTCCCTGTCCCTGTCCCTGTCCCAGTCCCTGTCCCTGTCCCTGTCCCTGTCCCAGTCCCTGTCCCTGTCCCTGTCCCTGTCCCTGTCCCTGTCCCTGTCCCTGTCCCTGTCCCTGTCCCTGTCCCTGTCCCTGTCCCTGTCCCTGTCCCTGTCCCTGTCCCTGTCCCTGTCCCTGTCCCTGTCCCTGTCCCTGTCACTGTCCCTGTCCCTGTCCCTGTCCCTGTCCCTGTCCCTGTCCCTGTCCCTGTCCCTGTCCCTGTGCCTGTCCCTGTCCCTGTGCCTGTGCCTGTCCCTGTCCCTGTGCCTGCCCTGTCCCTGTCCCTGCCCTGTCCCTATCCCTGCCCCTGCCCCTGTTCACGACTTAAAGATTGAGGAGAACGAGAAGGAGACGAAGAAGCTGCGGATGGATGCTGAGGAGAATAGACCAGCCCGCACGATGGATGACATGACTGTCCCTCTCCCTGTCTGTCCCTCTCCCTGTCTGTCCCTCTCCCTGTCTGTCCCTCTCCCTGCCTGTCCCTCTCCCTGCCTGTCCCTATCCCTGCCTGTCCCTATCCCTGCCTGTCCCTATCCCTTCCTGTCCCTGCTCCTGTTCACGAGATACAGATTGAGGAGAATGAGAAGGAGGCGAAGAAGCTGAGGATGGATGCAGAGGAGAAGAGACCAGCCCGCACAATGGATGACATGGAAGCTGAAGCCAAGGAGTTAAGACGGGTACTGGAGGAGTTTGAGAAGAAGGGGGAGGAGAAGGGAGAGGAAAAGGGAGAGAAGGGAGAGAAGTGAAGGATGGATGTGGAGGAGAACAGGCCAGTTGGCATGATGGATGACATGGAAGCAGATGCGAAGGAGCTAAGGAGAGTGCTGAAGGAGTTTGAGAAGAAAGGGGAGGAGAGGGCAGAGTGAACGGCATGTAAGGCACTGTACGAGGCCAGCCCGCACGATGGATGGCATGAAAGCTGAAGCCACGGAGCTAAGGAGAGTGCTGAAGGAGTTTGAGAAGAAAGGGGAGGAGAGTGTCAAACAATATTGTGATGTTAGGCTCTAGTGGGTCATGTTCTATGGGGTAAAACTCAATTAGGGTTAGGTACTTGTACTCAACTTCTGCCCAATGCATTCATTCCTGTCACTTACTTTCCAACATGGTTTCAGAGTAGGTCGATCCTTGGGACCGATTTTTTTTAGGGCCCACCGTTCGTTCTGCCCGTTTATTTCTGCCCTGCCTAGCGATCGCGACCCAGCTGCCCGCTAGAGCCGCCCTCCCCCCACTAGCGATCGCCCTGCCCGCGCGCCCTGCCTGAGCGCCGCTCTGCCTGCGCGCGCTCTGCCTGCAGCTGCGCCGCTCTGCCTACAGCTGTGCCGCTCTGCCTGCCCGTGCGCTCTGCACGCGCACCCTGCTGCCCACCCGCGCGCTGCCCGCATGCGCTTTGCCGGCCCCGCTAGTGCACCCTGCCCCACAAACGCGCGGCCCGCCAGCAGCCTGCGCCCGGCCTGCGCCCTGCCCGCGCGCACCCCACGCGCACCCTTCATGCTCCCTGCCCGTCCGCGCTGCTGCGCGCTGCTGCTGCTGTCACTTCTACAGCTGCTACTGCTGCATGCACTGCTGCCGCTGCTAAGTGCTGCTGCTGCTGCTAAGCGCTGCTGCTGCTGCTAAGCGCTGCTGCTGCTGCTGCTGCTACTGCACGCGCTGCTGCGCTGTGCCCTGCCCGAGCCGCGCCGCCCTTCCGAGCCGCGCCGCCCTGCCCGAGCCACGCTGCCCTGCCCGAGCCGCGCTGCCCTGCCCTTGCTTAGCCGCACAGCCCTGCTGCTGCTGCTAAGCGCTGCTGCTGCTGCCACTGCCGCTACTGCTGCTATGGCTACTCCTACTTTGCTCACCTTTGATGCCGAGGGGCACCCGATCGATTTTGAGAACTGGCTCATGGACTTAGAGTGGTTCCTTAAGAGCGTCATTAGGGAGGATATCTCACTGTTTGAGCATACCTCCGGGTCCCTCGCTACCCCTACTGAGTCCACAGACCAGAAAGTTCGTTCTCAGTGGACCGCTCGTGACGCCTCTGCGGCCCTTGCTGTTCGTAACCACATTCCGCCCGACCAGTGCACTCATTTCCGCCAGCTTAAGACGGCCAAAGCGCTTTACGACGCTGTAGTCAAACGCTATTCCTCCCCGTCTTCTGCCACGATAGGTCGTCTTGCACTGCAGTTCCTCTTTCCTGAGCTCGCCGACTTCACCACTATAGCCGACCTCATCACACATCTGCGCTCTCTTGACACCCGTTACCGTGCTGCTCTAGATGCCGAATTTCTGGCTAAGAACAAGCCCCCCATGTATCTCACCCTCTACTTTCTCACGACTCGCCTCCCTGACAGGCTTCGTGCTGTTCGTGATCACTTCCTCTCTCTCGACCCCACCAAAGTCACCATAGATTCGTTTGAGAAACGCCTCTTAGAGGCTGAGTCTGCTGCCCTCGCTGTAGCTGCCTCCCGTGGCACTCCCCTCCCCTCCGTCTTCGAGGGGTGCTCCCCCTCCCTGCTCGTGTCCTCTGTTGCCTCTGCTGCTGCTGTCGACCTCCTTGGTGCTGAGGAGGTTGGTGCTGCGTCTGCTCCTGCTGGGAGGCGCAAGGGTGGCAAGGGCAAGGGGGGCAAGGGCGGGGGTGGTGGGGGAGGTGGGGGTGGCGGTGGTAGTGGCGGGGGCGGTCGTGGTGGAGGTGGTGGGGGAGGAGGAGGCGGTGGTGGCAATGGAGGTGGAGGGGGTGGTGGGAGCAGTTGGGGTGGTGGAGGGGGCGGGGGTGGCACTCGAGGTGGAACTGGAGGGGGTGGAGCTGGAGGCTCGACTACGCGCACTGCTACGTCTGGTGGTGCAGCCGGTGGTGGAGGCGGCTCTGGGGATGGACAGCTGCAGCTCTCACCGCAGCAGCTTCGTGAGTGGGCAGTCCGGCGTGGCAGCTCGGGTGGCCCTGCTCGCTGTGGGTACATCCGTCGCACAGGTCAGCCTGGCGCGGCTTGCACCCGCACTGACCACACGGAGTCTCACTGCTTCTTTCGCCTCGACGACCTTTATCGTGCGGAGCATGGTGAGCAGATGAAGACTCCAGACTGGTTAGCTTTGCTGAAGAAGTGCATCGATGTCTTTGCTTGTGATTGGGACATGATCCATGCTGGCATGTATGCGATGTATGCTGCTTCTGCTAGAGTTGAGGGGGACTGTTACTCGTGTGTGCCCAGAGTTGCTAGGGTAGAGGCTGCTAGTCTTGGTGCTTTTGACTCAGCTAGCACAGGTGCAGAGCCTGAGGAGGCCTTGCACACTTTTACTCTCGACTCAGGCGCGTCTCGTTGCTTCTTCCGCAGCAGCACTACAGTCACACCGCTCACAGTCCCTGTCCCTGTCACACTGGCCGACCCCTCCGGGGGCCCAGTAGTCGCGCGCGGCGCCACTGTTCTCCCTTGTCCGGCGGTCCCTTCAGGCCTCCTTACAGGTCTCCACCTCCCCTCGTTCGCTAAGAACTTGGTGGCTACCTCTGTCCTCCAGGACTAGTGGGTCACTGTCACCCACCCTGGAGGCGAGCTAGTGGCGATCTTTACGGACTCGCGCACTGGTGAGCACCTCGCCACGTTCACTCGGAGGCCTGGGTCTGGCCTGTACACACTGACCACTTAGTCTGCACTGGTAGCTGAGTCAAGTCAGGTAGCTGTGTTAGTTGAGGTCGCTACGTCTTGTTTGTGCCGTCTCCTCACGCACCAAACTCTCCTCTGGCACCACCGTCTTGGCCACCCCTCCTTGCCACGCCTTCGTGACATGCACTCCCGTCTCCTTGTCTCTGGGCTTCCCAGGTCCCTGCCCCCGCTCCCGAGGTCGCTTGCGCCGCCGTGCCTTACCTGCGTCGAGGGGCGGCAGCGCGCAGCTCCTCACTCCTCCTCGTTTCCTCCGACCACAGCTCCTCTGCAGACCCTCCACATGGACGTGTGGGGTCCAGCCCGAGTTCCTGGACAGAGCGGAGAGCGCTACTTCTTGCTGGTTGTAGACGACTACACGCGCTACACCACGGTCTTCCCCTTTCAAAGCAAGGCGGAGGTCCGCAGTGTTCTGATCCGCTAGATCCGTGCTGTCCGTCGCCAGCTCAGTGCTCGGTTTCAGCAGGACCTCCCGGTCCTGTGACTGCACTCTGACCGAGGTGGTGAGTTTTCCTCCGGCCTCCTCGAGGACTTCTGTGGTGCTGAGGGCATCCGCCAGACGTTCATGCTTCCGGCCTCTCCACAGCAGAATGGAAAATGCAGAGTGCCGCATTGGCTTGGTGATGGAGGTTGCTCGCACCTCCATCGTCCATGCGGCTGCTCCCCATTTTCTGTGGCCGTTTGCGGTCCGATACGCTGCTGAGCAACTCAACCTCTGGCCGCGTGTCTCCTACCCGGAGACCTCTCCCACTCTGCGGTGGACGGGCGAGGTTGGTGATGCGTCGCCGTTTCGGGTCTGGGTTGCCCTTTCGCTTGTTCGCGACCTCCCCGCGGGGAAGCTCTCTCCCCGCACTCTTCGCTGCGTCTTCCTTGGCTTCCCTACCGACGCCCTGGGCTGGCAGTTTTACCACCCGTGTTCTTGTCGTGTTCTCTCCTCCCAGGACGTCACTTTTGACGAGTCCGTCTGCTTCTACCGTCTCCACCCCCGCCGCAGTTCACCCGTGCCCCTCCTGCCTCTTGCACTGGTCTCCGACCCCCCCCTGGTAGCCCCACTCCCCCCGCACGGTCCTGCTCCCTCAGGTGTGTCTCAGGTTGAACCGTCCCCCTTGGTTGAGCCAGTCGAGGTCTCCTCTGACACCTCTGGCTGAGGGGGGTGACCCGACTCCTGCTGCCACCGTGACCCCTCGCCGCTCCGCGCGCTTGGCGGTCCCTCCTGGGTTTCCGCCTCGACCGTCTTCACCGCCGTTCCAGCCTGTCAGTGTGGACTCTGGTGCTGCAGGAGGTGATGCCACTGGGGGTGCGGCCTCTGGGGGTGCTGGTTCTGGGGGTGCTGAGTGTCCTCTGGGTACAGGAGGTACTGGAGGTGCTGGTGCTGGTGGTCTTGGTACGAGTCGGCAGGAGGCTCTCTCGCCGGAGCGGCTTCGCGAGTGGGCTGTTCAGTGGGGCAGCCCTGGTGGTGGAGCTAGCCGTCTTCGAGCGGGAGGTGCTGGGTCTGCTGGAGCTGGAGGTGCTGGGACTGCTGGAGCTGGAGGTTCTGCTACTGGTGGTACTGGAGTTGCTAGTGCTGGTGGCACTGGTGCACGTCAGTAGGAGACTCTCTCACCGGCGCGGCTTCGCGAGTGGGCTGTCCAATGGGGCAGCCCTAGTGATGGAGCTAGCCGTTCTCGTACTACTAGAGCTGGAGGTGCTGGGACTACTAGTGCTGTTGGAAATACTGGAGGTGCTGCTGCTGTGGGTGCTACTGCGGGTAGTCCTGGCTCACGTCGCCAGGAGCCTCTCTTGCTGGAGCAGCTTCGCGAGTGGGCTGTCCGTTGGGGCAGTCCTGGTGGTGGCGCTGGACGTGCTGGAGCTGTAGGTTCTGGAGGTACTGGCCCTGGAGATGCTAGTGCTGGTGTTCCTGGAGTTAGCCGTGCTGGAGGTACTGGTACTGGAGGCACAGGTGCTGCTGGAGGTACTGGAGGCGCAGGTGTTGCTGGAGGTACTGGAGGTGCTGGCCCTGGAGGTGCCAGTGCTGGTGTTCCTGGAGTTAGCCATGCTGGAGGTATTGGTACTGGAGGCACATGTGCTGCTGGAGGTACTGGAGGCGCAGGTGTTGCTGGAGGTACTGGAGGTGCTGG